CAGCATCAGGCTTCAGGACTTGTTTTACTGCTGCAGTTTGTTTCGCACGAATCGTCTCCAACCTCCATCTAATGAGCATGATGGTCTTTCAGCAAGATTCAGCATGATTCAGCAATCCAGTTCGGATGCCTTATATAGGCTGTAAAAGGTCAGTGCCTCCTCGTACAATCATGCTTTCCAGCCAGTAGGTCTCGTGGTGCCGGTAGCCGGAGCTCATTTCACTGGGTAGTTCTACTTCTATTTCCACAGCTACTGCGCGCTATGATGCCGCCGCCATAAACAGGACTGCTGCTGCCACCGGTATTGCTGCAAGCGCTGCTGCTGCTGCTGCCGCCGCTGCCACCGCACACACGTTTCTCAAGCTGTTTGCTTATAAGATGGATGGATTGCAGTGTTTTGGGGATGGTGAAGGGAAAGGCACAGCCCAGCGGAGGATCTCCAGGTTGACACAAAGAGGTGCTTCGTCCGTGATGTCTGGGCAATGAGTCTTCTACAGGCAGAGAGCCCCATGAAGAAGTTCACTGCCATCCTCACAGATGTCAGGAAGCCTCCGGAGGCAGAGAGCTCAGTGCACGTAGATCCCAGGGAGTGCCTCGCAGCAAACGTGTGACAGGCAGCACCAGCAGGCCTGGCAAGGGGCGGAACCACACCTCAAAGAAAGGCTAGCTGTCAAGGAACTGTCCACTGTTCTTTTGCCTCTCGTCCCGGCCAGGTTGGAGCCCGCCAAACAGCAGATCTAAGCAGCGAGCTCCGCCAGCAGGATCAAAAGAGCTAGCGCGAAAAGCTTCACAGCTTCTGTGACAACATTTCATGGAAGTGCAGCTCGTGAGCTTGTACCTACCATGTTTGTATCCCTTTGTCGCGAACATGTTTTTCCGATTGCCAAGTGTGGCCCAAGCCACTTGCAATGCTCGTGCTTGGTGCTTGCACCTCTTTGCTTTCTGTTGTTTGTATACTCTCAGCCTGGGCAGTGACCCGCGCTTTTCGTGAACATGACGTTGTATCGCCAGCGCCTGACGCTGCCATCGGGTGTCTTGATGTTGCGATACCGATCCTTGGCAGTGGATGGCATATGTGTATGCCGGTCTTAGACTCCAAAATTTTGTTATGCTGCAAAAGGCTTCGAAGCTAAGTGACTACGGTCCATGACCTCTTGCATGTGGGGGTCAACTAGGGCATTACAAGATATTATTATGTCAGATTCTATCCGGCTGTGGCCTGTAACATGCCATGCCAGCATGTTGTCTACTTCTGTCGTACACGTCTCTTATAGGCTAGGGTGCGGTCATATTGCGCCATGCGCTCTTTAGAATAGTTCACATCTTCATGCGAAGTTTTCTTCCGCCTGAGGGTTGGAACCATCCAGACATGCTTGAGATCGCCGCCGGAAGAGAAGCAGTTAGATACATGTTCCCCACTCCATTTGTAGAGGTCCACGGAAGAACGTGTGTTCTTAGGAGGTGTTGGTTCGCTTGTGGGGGGAGAAGCTTGCTCTGGCGTTGACGCAGGCTAGAATGCTAGAAAATGTTGGACTATGTGTTGGTAGATTGTCAGAGTATGCATTCAGCGAGGCTGCAGGCGAGAAGCAGGCACCCGGACCCAGGCCTTCGTTTGCAAGCTGGCTGTGAGGTCTGTGGAGCAGCGTAAGTAGCAGAGGCTGCGCCGAACGGCTACTTATGGCCACGTTGACTGTGAAGTCCCCTAGAAGGTCAAGCACGAAGTTGATCACACATGACATACGGGGAAAGCCTAGCGTTTAGTAGCTGGTATGTCATATTGGTTGAGTGTGGTAGTAAACTCCCGTTATTGCCAACAAACCGAAGCCATGTCATCCTCAAGTCAGGAGCGATGCATCGGAGTTCGACTTCCACTCTTTGATCTTCAGCAGTCCAGGCTTCACGTTTCTCCATGCGCAGGAGTTCTTCATCTCTCATGAGGCGCCCGGCGGCAACAGTATGATGATGGTTGTTGGGCTTTCAACGACCGTGCAGGATTTTTTCCGGCCATAATCCTATGATCCTTCTTCGCCATGGCGGATTCAATTAGCAATAGTGGTGATGGCAGCCTTGGCGGTGACGCACCTTAGCATCCAGTATCGCACCATAGTATCTCCTAATCCTCATCTTATCCTGGTCTATCCTGTCCTGTCCTGCTTGCTCCCTACAACAATCATAATCATCGCTGCGTTGCAGAACCTACGATTAGCCCGTGCTTGCCTTTAGCCTCGTTTTTTTGCGAACTGCGACCCCGGAGGCCTCCTGTGATAGGCCTTTGGATGATGTGGAGCAGCTGCAAGTACCTGTGGACGCAGCATCCAAGCGGGCCCAGCTGCAGCAGCGCTTCGTCGTGAAAAACATCAAGGAGTCTCTGGCGGCCCTCTCGAGAAACGATGTTTCTGAGGCTCGCAAAGTGGGGAAGATATTCCTTGCTGACGTCGGGCAAAGGGAGCTGGTTCCTGTGGTGGAGCTGCATATGTTCCCACATAATGTTGCAGACGTGAACTCAACCTGGAAGGTCTTGCTCGTTCCACGGGTCAGGGAGCTTTTCGGAAAGACTGTTTTCCTCTGTAGGCCAAAGGAACGCAAACACCCTGCAGCGACTCGTTGCATGGCAAAGCTGCCATTCGACCCATTGCCTCCACGCTTGATGCACACCATAGGCAAATGGAGCCCTGCCACGGATCCCCTACGATCTACGCCTCACGGCCTCGTCCTGATGATGGAGGTCCTCGTGGTCTTTGCTGTTGGACTGACGGTATGTCTGCTCCTGGACTCACTGCTAAAGTTGGTGCAACTATCATGGGCGCAGTTGAGTTCTCCGGAGCAAAGCCCGCACAGGGGGAATCTATTGAAAGACAAGCTGCCAAAGGTCTACACGCTTACTCAGCATGCCTACGTGTACAAAGATGCAGGAGGACCTCACTCTTTCCTGTGTCATTGGTAGTCATCTAAGCTCTACAAGGAAAGGTTGTGAAGCAATGGTTGCTATCTGAAGGCCCGGGAACAGCAGCCCTGTTCCATGTCATCCCTGCAAAGATCCCCATCCCTCCACTCTCTCACCACACGTCGTCTCTCCCCTTCCCCAATGATGTTCATACTGCTGCCCTTTTCCATTGTTCAAGGAACGGTTTGTCTGGGATGCAGAAAGGCAGAGCGGGAGTTGCAGGTTTGACTGTTTGCAACCTGAACTATATATCAAGTGAAAGTCGAACAGAATTACTGGGAATTCTACGAATTCCTAGACGGTCCCAGGTTCTCTTTCCGGTTTTGGTAGATTTCACTTAGAATGGGGTTAGAGTTAATGAGTTATGAGTCAATGAGAGATAGGGAATCAGAGGTCCCGAAGTTCATAGTACTGTTGGCCAGTAGACGGTAATCTTATGAGGACAAATAGAAACATGTGATTGCTGTCAACACGCACTTTGTATTATCGTTAGGTGGTTAACCAACTTTCTCATGCTATCTCCTTTTACGAGAAGATTACGATGGACTGTCTCGCGCGTGCTGTGTCCTGACATTCATGAAGGCATTACCCTGCATAAGCCCACTGCGCACCCTTTGCGCCGTTGAGAGGAGGAGAACTCATGCAGCCCCAGCCTTTGAATGCTTGTTTCAGTGTCACGATACTCGCTGCTCGGTCATAATTGGGAGAAGATTTGCATGCCTGATGATACTGAAATCATGCCAAGCACTGTTAGTAAGAAGGATGCCAAGATCCGATCAGCGCGAACACTATGAACCCTACTAAACCATCAGTAGTGCGATGATCTCGGCGCCCCAACTGTGACGCAGGAAATGAGAGAGGCCAGCAGAGAGAGGCGAGATATCCTGGCAGAAGTAGAACACCTTGCCCTGCACAGAAGCAAGACTGCGCTCTGGGGTCGACTGGAACATCCTGCAGGTTGGATTGTTCTTGTCAACAAGGACGACAACATTCGGGTTCTGGCTAAAGGTGAAATCCCTCCGTCGCCTTTCTGTGCAAACTCGGAGTTGCTGGTGCCGTTGTCTTCCTTGCTGAGACGAAAGCTGGTCCTCGCAACGGCCCATGCATCAGTGCAATGGTTCCTTGTGAATCAGCTAGCTAAAGTGTTTGCAATTACGGAGATTATGTTGATCTCCCTCGGCATTTTTGCGGTCCATGTGCTGACGCTGTGCCAGATGGAGCTGACGAACGTGAGTGCTTTGCAGTTTGAGCAGGTGCTTGAATCAGAGGACAAGCTCCTGCAGCTTGGGAAACACCACCAGACGACCATGCTAATCAGCCTTGCTGTGGGGCTGCTGTTTGTCGCAATGACAGCTGGAATCCTGCAAAAGGAGGCAATCGCGACAGCTGCCCTGCCATGTACGTCTTTGCTTGCAGCAATTGTTCTGCATGTGATGGATTTTCGCACGTCCATGATTGGCCTTCGCAAGTGGAGATCGCCTGGGCTAAAGGCCAGCGAGTATACGAGCATCACCAGCAAAGGCTTGGAGGTAATGGACGATGATGAAGCTCAGCCGCGGGCTTTGTCGAGAAGTAGAGACTTCAGGAAACACATTGTTCGCTTCCTGCTCTGCGTGCTAGCCGCCGGTGCCGTTATTCTTCTCATGCTGGTGGTTCTAGATGGTGTGCAAATGCGCGGCGAGCTGTTGACTTACGGCTTCAGCCGCGGCTACTCAACCATTCCCCCCCACGGGCAGTCGCTTCAGAACACTTTGCTGTTGCACACCAGCGTTGATTCTCTATCGTTCACCTTCGAGCCTGGCCCCTTTACGTCTAAAGTACGGCTGCGACTAGAGCATCCATTGATTGAGGCCCACGATGCTGCGGCGCAGCCAGTCACGATCTTCAAGGAAGGGCAAAACCCAGCAGAGCAGGTTGGTTTTGAGTATCCTCTGTCCCTACCAGCCGGTTCGCTCTACAGCCGCCTCATCGTGGAGGCAACGAGCCCGCTGCACCCAAAGCCTACCCAGTACATGGTTCACCTCTTGCGAATTACTGAGGCTGTTCTCATATCAGTAAATGCCAGCATCAACCCGACTCACTTTCCGAATGGTCAGTTGGGTGAACCCGTCGCACCAGTGGTGTTTCATGAGAAGCGCCGATGGCGCTACCAGCGGAACAACCCAGCGTGGTACGTGCCGGACCTGGATCTGAGAAGCAACAGCAAGTTTCAGGTGGAACATGTCCCTGTCATTCTTGCACCCCTAAAGGCTTTGGCTTCGGAGGCTGAATCACAGCACTTGGAAGACTTGAGCGGCATGAGCATGATTTCAAGCACCTGCCGCTGTGGCCCTGAACGTCCAGGTTTTGGAAATTCCTGCGCGGTGGAGGAAGGCATCACTCTCTTGACCGAAGTTCATGCTTGCTTGTTTCAAGGAGGCGTGGAAGAAGAGGTCCTTGTTGAGGATAGGTCAGGAGGCGTCTCCAGCAACGCTTCCAAGCTGATCCAATGGCTGTTGGACGTTAATATTAGTGGCAAGTCTGTAGGCTTGCAGCTAACTGATGCTGAGAAGGGTTCTTTGGGAAGCAGCTGGCCGTTGGAGAGACTGCCAACCAGGAAGGCAAATGGCGTCAATCGATTGATTTCCAGTATATTCGAGACATACATACCAACGGATGTGCTATTGACCCAAGCCACACAGTTGACGATAGCTTTGACACAGGACATGACAGATGCAGAGGTTCTTGCAGTGCCGTTGAGGGTCGTGTCTCACCCGCCTCCATTGCACTTGAGCATCAATAGGTCCGACGGGTTCTTCTTGCCGGAGCCGCTCCCTTCTGATGACCGCACTAACTTTGCTGCTTGCTGCTTAGGAGACTTGTCCTCCGTCTATGCCAGCATCCATGATTCACGCTTCATGGTAGTAGAGACGGAAGTCAGCAGGGGTCATGACTGTGATGGTCAGGCTACACTGAAGCAGAAAGAGTTCACAGCGGTGCGCAAACCGGACCAATCATGTGAGCCTTACTGTTCTTTGTACCGTCCATGGGCTGACTACAACGATGCGATTGTGTCGCTGTCAGTAGCACGCTGTTTTGATCAAGCCGTGGATTTGGACAACCTCACCGCTTTCCGCAAGATCTCCGACACCATGCCAGACAGCTCGAGAAAGCTGATGTTTCAAGCCTGCGACACTCTTCAAAAGGCAGTGCAGCTAAATCGGACCTTCATTGCATCAGAGATGCTGACCTCAATGGATGCTGATCCAAATGGATCTCAGGATAGACAGACCCCGTTGCAAGTGGCAGCTGAGAGTGGCAATCTTGGTGCCATGGAGCTGCTGATTCACAACAATGCATCAGTGGACTTTGCTGGTCCGAAGAATAGCACCGCCTTGTTCTCTGCAGTATTGAATTGCCAGACCCATGCTGTTGAGTACTTGTTGAAAGAGAACAGCAACCCGAACCAGCTTGCGCTTGCTAGTGACCAGGAATCGTGGGGAACTCAGCACCTCCTGTGATCTGCTCCGTGTGTGTGGGTGATCGTGAACGTCTGAAGCGTCAGCAGCAGAAACCAGCTGCGCTGCTGAGGTGTAAGGTCACGCCCCTGCTTTCCCTTTTGGGCCCGAGCCGCTCTGAACGCTGCACCGATGACAAAACGAAGTCAGTTCTGAAGGCATTGGTCAACAGCAAAGGCAATCTTTCAGTCTCAGAGGCTTGTCTGAAGTATCAGGACTGAAGCATTGCCCATGTTGATGTATGCTACCCGAATTAGCTCTTTAGAAACCAAGGCAAATGGGAACTGTGAGAAGACACAGACAGCTCTGATGATGGCGCTGGAGACCAAGCAGGACCTGTCCGTCGTGGAAGAGCTGCTGAAGTTGAGGGCAGACCCGAATCAGGAAGGGCGTGCGGGGTCGGACCTGCAGAGACCCTTTGTTTTCGCATATTTGCAGACATCGTTCTACGGGGCCCCGCTGGCCAGCCTCTCCAAGATCACCAAGTTGTTGCAGCGCTATGGCGCCGACGTGGATACGAACATATACCCGGGAACTCTGACAAGTGCTCTAATGGAAGCATCAGAGAACTGTGAAGTGGATGTCGTTAAGCATCTGCTTTCACTCAATGCCGATCCTGCCAAGCGCGATGCAGAGAACAACACGCCCTCGGACCTGGCGTGCAAGTGGGCCGACAACGCCACTGCTTCTGACACCCTCCGGCAACTCTTGCAGAACGCAAGCCGGGGCAATTAGATACAGCAACATAGTCCTTGGTGCCTGTACCCTCGCTGAAGACCGCTGAGGGAAAATGTTGTCCGATGTGGCTTGATCAACCTTGTTGCTGCATTGTTGATCGATCTGCTGTTGTGATCGGGTGGCGCACCTGTTTAGCTGCATGACGTGAGCCCAACGGACGATGTTGTCAGTAGAGCATATTAGACCCTTCATATCCGAAAAGATGAGTGGTTCTAGGATCGGCAAGCATGTACGAAGTCAGTAGTTATGTTTGTATGCGAGGGCTTAAGGACTCCGGAGATGTTAACGCAGCCCTAAGAAGAAGAGGATCTAAGCCGCTTGAACTGCTACATGTAGCCCAGTTGTTTGGCATCTCAGTTTCAGCACTTGAAATGTTGTGAAACACACGTGTGTGTGTGTGCGCGCAGGGACATGTTCGTCGATCGACGTGAATGCTGCAGCATCTACGGCTTCGCGTCGTCGCCCGACTTTTCAGCATCTCAGCTAGTCTCCTTCGGCGCCATGTCGGCCCACACCTCCTCGGACATCGCGGCTGCCATCGTCGTCCTCAAGGAGGCAATCGACCATGGCATCGATTTGGAGCTGCACTTTGGAGAGTGGAGCCGGGTCGAGCGGCGCTCCTTGGCGGTGGCCTACGGCGAGTCGGAGGCAGCTTACGCAGATGTGAGGGCGGCGGCCGGAAGACCGGCGCAGGCCAAGGCACCTGCCGTCAAGAAAGCGCCACCCGTGCATCCATGATGCAGCCGACGCCCGAGCCACCCGCGGCGGCGTCAGTGTCGGACGCGGCACTTCGGGCGTCACTGGCAAATCGCCGCCGTCAGCTTCGTGAATCAGGGCGACGCCGAGGAAGCCCAGCGGTGGGGCTATGTCACGCCGACCGCATTCTATGAAGCCCGGGGACGTTGTGAGATCCCCGCGGCGGCACCCTCGGCCCCACCGGCGAACGTCGATGGGCTGGATGGCTACTTGGCGGATGCAGATCGTCGAGCAGTGGAGCGCCGAGAGGAGGAACGGCTCTTGCAGGACCGTATGCGGCGGGTGCCCCGTCGGCTTTCCCACCGGTCACCCAGGCGCCGGCGGCTGCTCGGTATCCGAATGCGGTGCATCTGCCCGAAAAAGTCGCCCTGCCGACAGCATCGGACGTGCAACGCACGTTTTCTTGGCAGAAGACTGCTACGCACAGCATTAAACTGCACTGTCCATCGATTTCAAGGCAGCGCATAAGTGTAATAAAGTCGACCCCTCGGAGCAAGGCGCCTTGCTTTTCAGACACGGCGATGCGCTGTATTACTAGACTCTACTAGACTGTGTGTCATTTTGGTGCGCTTTTCCGCATATTGGTGGCAACGCAGTGGAGGCCTCGTGCTCAGATGTAACCACGCATTGCTTTGCAAGCACCTGCACAAGGCATGGATGGCTTTACGTTATCTGCTCTGCATGTTGCGCACAGCACAGAGTGAGCAAGGAGCCGCGCTAGTTGTTGCACTGCCAGCGGCAATCAACGCTCCCATCAGCTGGAAAGAAGCCCAGTTTAGCTGCACGGTAACGTGGTGCGGATGGCGCTTTTGCACAGCAACGGAAACAATACAGCTCATTTCTCATAAGCCCGCTAAGCTCCGAACACAATTTCAGGCACTGCAGCGGTGCCCAGGAAGGAACTGGAAGCCGTGCTGGGTCTTCTAAACTGGGCTGCAAGCATTAGCAAACACCTTCGTCCTTTCATGGCATCGCTGTACAAAGACTTGCACAGCGGCCAAGGGACACTGCACAGCATAGCCCCTACTGCATGGCAAGCCTTCTCTGACTGCCTGGATAAGCACGCAACGCTCTCCGGGACGCCCTTGGGCAGTTGGCTGCCGCTCAACGGCAAAGTCATCGAGGTGGGTGCACTTAAAACCCACAGCCAAGAGGATGTACCCAAAGTGCCGCCATCGCAGAAGTGCAGTTGGGTGCGTATCTTCGACCCGCTCCACAGCGAAATGCATCTCTGCCAAAAGAGCATGTTTGTGCTCGAATGGCTACGCTGGTGTTTTGCGCATGAGCAGCCTCGCTCCTTGCGCAGCGCACTGCTGCTGCTGCACTGCTTGCGCTCCGCAGACGCTTTCGCAGACACGCACCGCATGGGCACTGGCGTTAAATTTGCAAACAAACCACCTCCTCTACATATTTTTCTATAGTGAAATTTTGACAGCACAGCAAGTGCGCCAGCAATGGCCGCAGCCTACGGGCAGCCTCCAGCCTTACATAGGTTGCTTCGAAGCGCTCGCACAGGTTGCGCCCGCACATTGGACAGTTCGTGCTGCCTTCTGCCAGTGACAACACCAGCGCAGGGAGCGGCTTGAACAAGCTGTTCAGCACTGCAGAGCCTCTCGGAGCTTTTCTGCGCCTCGCCGCAACATGGGGGCACCTGCACCGCGCGCAGTTTCAGGTAGAGCATTTAGCAGGGAAAAAGAATGTCTGGGCAGACAAGCTCAGCCGCGACATCACCGCATTCATGGAGCGCCACGACAGAGTCACTCTCGCACAGCTCGCCTCGGCATCGCACAGTGTTACCTTGCATGGTGACGAAGCTCAGTGGCCAAGAAGGCTGCTTCATGCGCACACAGAAAAATGTTGCGGTAACCGCAAAAAAAGAGTCTACTTGTGCATGCTCAGCACGCCTCATGCACCAGCCTAAGCACTGCTTTTGCTGTCAGGTACAGTTCAACCTCGCGCGGCGGGGGTTTGTCGTCTGAGAGGTTGCTGTGTCCGCTAAAGTAGGGGGGAATCTCGCTCCGGCGCACTCGCCTTGGATCCTCTTTCGCGCGCGCATCGCTCCGCACTGACACAGCAACACATGCGGAAAAAACAAGGAGAGCTCGAGTACTCTGCTTTTGCATTTTGCTGTTGCCTAACCGTTTTAACCGAGAGAACGCTCGCTGTGCGTTTGTGTTTTAGTCAGCAGTGTTTTCGTCGGTTTGAAACTAAGCAACGCATCGCTTGCCTTGCAACGCATCAGCTCAAACCTAGAAAACACTCACTGTCTTAAGGCTGCAGCCTAGTCGCAAATTTTTCACCCACCCTCCACACTCGATTGGGGGGGAATCTCGCTCTGGCGCGCTCACTTGGATTCTCCTTCGAGCGCGCATCGCTCCGTACTGACACAGCAACACAAGCGGAAAAAAAGGAGAGCTCGCCGTACTCTGCTTTTGCGGTTTGCGGTTGCCTATTCGTCTTAACCGAGAGAACTGCTAGGATGTCGTGCTTTCCTGATGCCCGAGACCAGACAAGGCAACATAACACAGTGCATGCATAATAGATATCTATAATGATAAATACACAAACCAAAAATTATTGTTGTAGGTACCTTTTTGAGCAAGCTACGAGCCGTGCGCAAGGGTTCTTCTGCCATGGTGGCTTCAGGGGATGACCTTACCTTCGCGTCTAAAGCCGGCCTGGGCCTCAACATTGATGTGCCTCCCAACTCCTTTTCCATCGAAACACGAACAATTCCCAAGATTATTCCCCAGATTTTCGTTTGAGGGTCATTCAACCAGGGTTTTCCCGTATCATTAGAAAGATATGTGTAGAAGTCCCTGTAATTGCGAACATGGCTCCTTAAACCTTAAGTTAACTTAAGTTCCTGATAAAAACCAAGGTCTTCGCCACCTGTTCAGCTGCTTTTTCTCAAGTTTAGGGCTTGAGGGTTAGGATTCAGGGTGATGGAAGGGTTTCGTGGGATTAAAGCAAGGGTTTATGCTTGTGTTAACAGGGCAATAATCCAAAGTTTGAGCACTCATAGGGCGTGTAGTCGAGTTTCAGAAGCGGCCTGTCTTCTAGGAAGCCGGAGCTGCACTTCATGCTCGTGACACGTTCGAGTGCTTCTCATGCTTCAGGCGCTCGACCTACGAGTGTTATATTGCTGCCGTCAAAACGGTGCCGGCTGCGCAGGCGCAGGTGCCTGCCTCTTTTCCATGCTTTTGACTGATCTGCGAAAGTGGCAGCGGCTGAATCGGAAGCCTTTTGCCGTTCGGGTAGCATCCGCTCATCCAGGTGCTTTTGCTGGTTGACCTGCCATCGGCCCGATTCGGAGAGATTGTGCTTCTGCCGTAGCTCGGTGCCCCAGAGATTCGTAGATATCTGTGACCATGGGATGCTCCGGATCGAAGGCGCGTGCAGCCCCGATGGCGGAGACGCGCCCGGACCCGGAGAACGAAGCAGTAGAGAAGTCCGAGGATGCTCCATCGCCCGTGATAGAGGAGGTCTCAGCCGCGATCCCCGAGGAGCATCATCCTGAGGTGAAGCAACGCCTCCCTGAGGTGATGGAAGAGGCGGAGGACACACAAGAAGAGGCGCACTTCACCCAGGAGCCCTACGTGCCTGAGGTATTGCAGCAGGAGACGGATGTCATGCCGGAACCTGTGAAATCCATGGACAGGGATACGCATGATGATGGAGAGACAGTGACAACGGCACCGAAAGAGGACGACTCGGTAGTGCCTGGAACAGAGGACAAGCTTGAAGACGCACCGGACTTTCCACTTTGTGGCTACTGCGGGGGCTGGCAAACAGTCTAGTACTGCAGTCTAGGCATGCTGTGGGCTTCACAGGAAAGCTCATGCATTTTGGCAAGGATGTTGCGCTCCGGCTCTTCGGCCGTGCGGGAGTCTTTGCTCGAAATTAACCGGGCCTACACGTGTACAGCTGCTCAAGACTCAAGAGCGTGTATGGCATTCACAACATCTGACATCAAGTTAGGGTTGCAACAGTGCATGTCAGTTCTCTGCCTCGAGACAGAAGTTCCGGCAGATTTTTTGACCAGTCTCAGTCGTTCGCATTGAACATCCTGACAGAGTTTGCATCACCGCTGGCTTTAGCATGTAGCGCTGGAAGTAGCACAGGCATCCTCCACACTCCAGCTTGGCGTTCTTGCCAGGTCCCCAGTGGGACTTCGGCGCTTTGGATGCCAGGCATCTGTGCCCAGGGCCTGAACAAAGTGAGTTAGGAACCCTAAGTGCAAGGTTGACAGCTTCACGATCCTGCAGGACACATCATGTGGTGATTTTGACCCAGACGGTAGATTATCAGACTATCCTTGAAGTAAGACTGTGGTCGGATTCATCGGTGCGGGCGCAGAGGCTTATTTGCAGTGATTGCTGATTGCATATGGCCGTGTGGAAAAGCTACCGTCAGACCAGGTCGTGCAGACCGGTAGAGTGTCCCAGATCACGCGCAATGGCACAGGCAGAGCATGTCAAAGTATGCATCAAAGATGCTGCCAGGGACAACAGGCGGCGCTCATCACCTGCAACAAGGCCATCAGTGCTTGTAAGCGCCAGGGCGACTGGCAAGGAGCTCTGCTGCTCTTGTGCGGCATTGGAGCTCAGAAGTTGGAGGCCGACATCATCTCCTACACTGCCGCGATTGGGGCCTGCGAGAAGTCCCAGAAGTGGCAGCAGGCTTTGCAGCTTTTGCATGAGGCTCTGGCAAGGGCCCTGCAAGCAAACGAGCTCACCTTCACTGCGGCCATCAGCGCCTGCGAAAAGTCTGCGAGTTGGCAGAAGGCGCTGGTGCTCTTGGTTCAGGTGAGCGAGCAAGGACTGCAAAGAGACCTCGTGCTTCTGAATGCAGCCATCAGTGCCTGTGCCAAAGCGGGCATGTGGCTCAGCAACTCGACTGCTTCGGCGTGTTTTTTGCCACCCCTTCTTTCGGCTTTCAGAAGTCGCACCCGCCTTTTTAAGGTGCCCTGGAACTGGTCCTCGACGCAGAGCACCAGCTCCTCCAGACCGACCTGATCTCGCAGAACGCCTGCATCAGCGCCTGTGCTAAGGCAGCAGATTGGAGATCGGCCTTGCAAGTCCTCGCCGACCTGGAAGTCAGAGATCTTCTGCCCGACGTGATCACCTACAGCACGGCGATCAGCTCCCTGGAGTCGGAGTGGGAGTTGGCTTTGCATCTGCTGAAGTCTGCAAAGGCCAACGTGATCACCTACAACTCTACCATCACAAGCTTCGGAGTATCCAGTCAGTGGTGCCGTGCCTTCGAGCTCATGGCCGAGATGGCTTCTGGCAACGTCTGGGCCACCATTGTGACTCACAACGCGGCCATCGCCGCCTGTGCGACTTGACTCAGACTTGGTCCATCTTGGTCGCTCTTCGAAACTTCTTGCTGCAGTGGGCCCAGGAACGCGCTTCTGAGTGGCAGCAGGCCTTTCAGGCCTTTCTCCAGCTTCTAGACGGGCCTGCGAAAGGGCTGGAGCCGGATGTGGTGACCCTGAATGCCGCCCTGAGTGCCGCTTCACATTCCTCCGAATGGCAGCAGGCGCAGAGAAACTCAGAATGCAGCTTTGTCAGTCTGTGTGTGTGAATGTCGCGTGCAAGCCGGTTCTCTCTAGACTCTTGGACTTTTGTGATGAGGCGATCCGACTGCTGAATGCTGCGGTCGCGCAGAAGATGCGGCCGGATGTTGTGAGCTTTGGGACCCTCATCACGGGCTGCGAGCGCGCGGCTCTGTGGCAGCAGGCCCTGCAGCTTCTCGGCGAGCTCGATCGCCGCAGCCTGGAGGCGAACGTGGTGACCTACAGCGCTGCCATCAGTGCTTGCGAGAAGGCACTGCCGGGTCACAGTTCTTCCGGGTGAGGTTTTCTGCCGAATCAGGTAGGCATGATCAGTGGGGCGTCCCCTTGCAGGTCTCCCGGTGGCCTTCGGCGCTGCAGCTCCTTGCCGAGCTGAAATGGTCGCAGCTGCAGCCGAACGTGGTCGCTCTGAGCGCAGTGGTGAGTGCCTTGGAGCGGGCCGCGCGGTGGCAGCACGCGGTAAGGCTCCTCACGGACTTCCCTGCGGCTCCCAACGCCGTCACCCTCAGCGCGGCTTGCAGCGCCTGCGAGAGGGCGTCAGCCTGGGAGATGGCTCTGTCCCTCCTCACTCTTTTTGGTACGGAGGGCAGAGACAAGCTGGTCTACAGCTCAGCGGTGGGTGCTTGCGTGAAGGTCGCAGAGTGGGAACAGGCCCTGTGCTTGATGAGGGAGCTTCCTGAAACTGATATCATCCTTCTTTCTCTGGGCATCGCTGCCTGCTACCAGGGCTCCTTATGGTTCCAGGCCCTGGTACTTTTAAGCCAGCTCGGGCCACTCACCTCCAGGACAATGGCAAGTGCATGGGTGGAAAAAGCCACGGCCGATTCATCTCAGAGCCAAGAGACTCAACTGTGAGGACCCTAGAAAGCCCAGCCCATCACACTGAAGTTGTTGTGCTTTAGAGTTTAGGGTTTGGGCTCATTTTCGGAGCCTTGGTAAACTTTATGAGCAACACCGATACCCTAAACCCTAACCCCTAAACCCTAAACCCTGAACCCTAAACCCTAAACCCTAAACCCCAAAGTCCCGAACCGGATGCCCGAGATCTCAACAAAAACCCGAGCCTCCGAAGCTCCGAAGCCAGGCTCCGTCGACCGATCCGGGCTCCCTTGAAGGCCATGGAGACTGCAGCCTCGAGCTCTTGGAGTTTAGGGTTCAGGGGAGAAGGCTTAGGGTTCAGGGCCTATAGGGCTTTGGGCTTAGGGCTTAGGGTTTAGGGGGTTTAGGGGCTTTAGGGGCTTTAGGGGGTTTAGGGNNGGTTTAGGGTTTAGGGAGTTTGGGGACTTCGATACTTTGAATGATGAGCCCTCAGGCCCTGAGGAAGAGTGTTGCTACATTTCCGAACCCTGCACTTTGTTGGTACTTGCGGCATAAGTTTGGGGGGAGGCTCTGACGATCCGCTTGTTGAGCATTCCCGCAGACAAGGCGTCACGAAAGATCACCCTAAGCCCTAAATTGTCGGGGTGGTTTCAGCTCCTTGGCCTTTTGCGCTTCGAAGGAGGGTCTTTCCCTGTAGCTGTGGCCG